CCCAAAACCCCAAAACCCCAAAACCCCAAAACCCCTTTCGATCAAAACCGAATTGAATTTGACAAATTTGGTGAAAATCTTAAAATGGAAGAATCTCACAAAATTAATCTTGACTCATTCTCTAAATATCTCAATTAAGTGGCCAGGATGGTACCTATCTCTATACAAAAGATCTTAGTGGCTTGCCCACCTACTTCAAAGACTACGAAACATTGCTTTAATATTTCACTATAGTATTAAATTATGCTAGGACTAAAAAACTTCCTAGCTGGGTACTGATTAGGTGATTTCACCCTGAAATACATATTTCTAGTAGACCCAGCCTTGGCCCTACCAGAGCTCCCCGTTATTCTGGATATAAGTGTCTTTTTGGGTCTGAATTCTCTGAGGTAGTAGTACTTATCAACAGGACTTTTCTCCTCTTTTTCTAGTATACGGTCGAAACTTCTTATATCAGACATGAGATGTCTGTGCTGCTTGAAGCTCTCCAATTCCTTCTTATCAGGCTTCTTGCTTGACTCTTCCTCTATGTTCTTGAAGTACTCTTTTAGCTTGGGGTATTCGCTTGTAGCTAATTGGTTATCAATTGTTTTCAGAAGTTTATATTTCTTCTGCATTCTAGGCTGAGGGCTTCAGATAGCCTCATGATTCAAGTAATTATAATACTTCATGAAGCTCGATTTTTGAATGTTATTCCTGTCTTAGCGTATATGAAGGGCTGCTTGTCGGTGAGTTTAGTGTGTGGTGGAGCTTTGATGTATTACGAGTTTTCTCTTCCTTGATATCAAAATTCTTAGAGCCAAATATTTCTACATCTATGAAGGTTATTGAATATTTTACCAATGGATTTCATCTTTTGAGCCTTTTTATTAACCTTCTTTTTCTTTAACCGGAATGGAATAGTACTATACACTTTCTCCTTATCTCTTTCCCCTCCACTGCCAATCCTCTTTCCTAATATCTCCTTCCTACTCTTTCCATCCCATTTTTCACTCTAAAATTTCATCACTAAAAATCCTAACACTTAACTCAAACACCTTAAAATTCAAGTTTGTAAAAACCTCAGACATCAAAATCTATTTCCCTTACGTTTTTCCAATCCCTATTCATCACTGGTCTCCTATAAAACACCTTTGTGCGGTTATTCTTATTTCTTTACTTTTGGCCTACTTGTCAAGTAAAACATAGAAGATAATAACGTTTCAGAGAAATCTCTAGAAATAGTCTCTCCAAAGTCTTCGAATTTCTGTTCAATAGCTTTTGAAGATTTCTCCAAAACTTGTTCTGGAGAAGCCCTAGAAGCCTTTTGAGAAGCTTTATGGATACTTGTGCTTATTGAAGGCTTATTTTGGAGCTTTATGAGAATGCTAGGTGAGTTTTTGGCCATAAATTTTGATTTAGAGGTGGAATTAGCCCGTTTTGACCCTTTTTGAGCCTTCTGAGCTGGACTTTTGGTACTATTAGAGTCTTTTGGAGTTATTTGGCTTGAATTAAAGGATATTTTGGGATGAATGCTCTGAGCCACTGGTTCATTTTTGAAAAGAGGGGATGTTAGTTTTTGAAAGAGTTTATTATGATTTGAGAGAGCAGTTGTGTTAAACAAACTCGCAACTATGATAAATATTGAGAATTCATACCTCCTGAAACTCTTTGATTTCTCTTTTGAGATTTTTTATGAACACTCGGTTTCTGATTATTAATAAACTTCTTCACAGTTTTTGTATTATAAGATTTCCCTTTTGTGGTAGTACTGGGGTACTTGGCTGACATTTTTGCTATAGATAACTTAAAAAAAATTACAAGACTCAGCTTTAAGATGTTTTGGGCTCTATAAAACTATCAAAACAACTCTTTTGATTTCTTACATTGTTCAAGCTTTGCCTCTCCTCATCTACAATATTAAGTCTATATCTCACCTATTCGCATAAGTTGTATTGACTTTTGGTTAATTTTGCTGAGATTCATCTTAGCTTTGACTTCTTCCTTCCTCATCATCTCCTCTGGAGTCTAAAATGAGGTAATAAATTAGTATTACATTAGGAAGAGCTCCAGTTTCTTTACTAGAGGCATTCTCTACGCTAGGAATCAAGCTCAGTTCTGAAGAAGAGGCTATAAAGGTCACCTAAACCATACATTCCTCAGGAGAGGAGACAGACTCAGTAGTCTGTCTAGATTTTTGCCTTGACTTCTGGCGAGATCTCTGTCGACTCTAAAGTTATGCAAAATATGATTACCCTTGTTCTTTTAGATAAGCTATTTTTCGAATTTGATGATGCTCTACTTCCCCTAATCTTTGAGGAGCGCTTCTATATGAAAATATGTTGAACAATCACCAAAGTATAGGGATTGCAAAATGTAGAAGAAGGTAATCATACTCGACGTCTAAGCCCTACAGAAGTCTTATTGAAATTAAGACTAATAATCGGAATCTGGGCGCTAACTCTTTTGTTTCTCTTGCCTACACATCAGATAATACTTACCTCTGCTCTTATTAAAGAATTTAGTTTTTAACATAGTCGACCTCCTTGGCTTCTTATTACCTGAAGCCATTGGTGATTGCTCATCCTCCAGCTTATTTCACTACGTTGTTATTTGATTTCCTCCGGTTCAGGTTGTCGAACTTAGCTGAAAGCATTAGAGTAAAGACTACCAAATTCTGCTCCAAAATTATTAGCCATGAGATCCTTCCTATACGGCCCATAGAAGAAATTAGCCTTTTCTTCCACAGTGTCGACCTTTGCAGGAGCAACCTTGTATTGGGCACGCTTCTTATTTCCTCTTCGCGGTGCTTAGCCTGCTTTTGGCCATACTTCCTGGACGACTAAAAGGGTGAATAAGGAGATACCTTCTACAGATAGTCATTCGGCTTTTCATGCTGCTGCCACTACGATAACTATAAAAAGAATCAAAATAAATTTGAACCAAATAACTTACGATTTCGGCGCGAGGCTATCTCTTGCTCTAAAAATGGTCATTCTCTGGGTATTCTTTTTCAACAGTGCCGATGGGAGTTTCGTCATAAAGGCTGGAGCTTGTGCTGCCAGGCTCACCTTCCTTGATGCAAACAGAGGGTCCATGATTACTAATTCTTTCAATATTTTACACACGATTGGGGTTTTGGGGTTTTGGGGTTTTGGGGTTTTGGGG